TATAAAGTTAGTATTTGTCCATTCCATCTCTTTGAAGAATGTCATTGGAATCTGGATTGGGATCGCATTATATGTGTAAATTGCTCTGGACAGTATTGACATTTTCAAGATGTTGAGTCTTCCTATCCAGGAACATGGTATGTTCTTCCACTTCTGTAGGTCTCTTTTGGTTTCTTATAGTAGTGTTTTGTAATTTTCTTTGTATAAGTCCTTTGTTTCTCTGGTTACCTTTATTCCTAAATATCCATCCTTTGTGCGGCTATTGTAAATGGTATTGTTCTCCTAATGTCCTTTTCATCGCTATCATTGTTGCTGTAGAGAAATCCAACTGATGTTGCTCTTATACCTGCCACTTTGCTGTATCTTTCATTGAGGTCTAGTAGCTCTTTTACTGAGTCTTTGGGTTTTCTATGTATAGGATCATATCATCTGCAAATAAGGAGAGCTTTACTTCCTCTTGGTCAATTTGGATGCCTTGAATTTCTCTATCATGCTGTATAGCTCTGGCTAAAACTTTCAGCACAATATTGAATAGGAGTGGTGATAAAGGGCATTCTTGTCTGGTTCCTGTTCGCAGAGGGAAGGCTTTCAGTGTCTCTCCATTGAGAGTGACGTAGGATGTTGGTTTTGTATATATGCTCTTGATTATGTTGAGGAATTTCCCTTCAATTCCTACTTTTGAGTGTTTTTATAAGGAATGGATGTTGGATTCTGTCAAATGCCTTTTCTGCATCAATTGATATGACCATGCGGTTCTTTTCCTTTTTCTTATTTATATGATGGATTATGTTGATTGTTTTTCTGATGTTGAACCATCTGAATGCAAGAGTTTTAAAGATAGTATAATATACTTTGCCTATAAAGTATGCAAGCAAGAAACCAAGCAGTGACTCAGGCAATTTTATAGCTTGGGAAGATAACTACATGAAAAGAGATTCAGGATACACGGATTCTAGGTTCAGCACTGAGTAAGAGTCTGAGAGAATTCGGGTCCTCAGTTTTCTTATTTGTAAAATTATGTACTGATTCCTGAACTTCTTCTCAAATAGGAGTAACAATATAGTCAGGATGTTTGAGGTTGTCAACAAAAGGAATGTGAGGACTAGAAGAACCTTAAAATCGTCTATTCCAATCTTTCTACAAAGAAGATAACTCACATTCAAAAAGGTCACCCCATTTGTCCAAATTAAATTATCTATGTTGGAGTTTGAATCTCAGTAACAACCTACCTGTTCACAAATACTGGAAATTGCTACTTGTGAAATTTTAAAAAAATTCAGCCTTTCCTTTACTTTCTTTTTCACTTTAGACAGAATCTCTCCTATAGCATTAGAATATGCTGCTTAAATAGAGAGCAGGGAAGGAGATGACGAAAGTTTTTTTAGCCCTGATGACTGGAGCAAATTATTTAAGCACTCTGTAAATTCATAATCAAATATTCTTTTAATTTTTTTTCTTTTTTGTCCTTAAGTGTTAGATAAAGAAGTAAGAAGGCCCTCAAATGCGCAAGTTGTTTACAATAAGCTGCTTATCTAAAGGCTGGGGGTTTGAACCTACCCACTGGCTCCACAGGAGCTCTGGTAGCATTGTAGTTACAAATCGGGCTGCCAACCTCAAGGTCAGCAGTTCGAAACTACCAGCGGTTCCATGGGAGAAAGATGAGGCGTTCTGCTCCCGTAAAGACTTACAGCCTCAGAAACCCTGTACAGGGTCGCTATGAGTTGGAACCGACTCCACAGTACTTAACAACAACAACTGGCTCCATGGAAGAAAGCCCTGGAGATCTGCTTCCACAAATATTACAGCAAAGAACACTCTCTAGAGCATTTCTACTCTGTAACACATGAGGTTGCCATAGACTGCAATCCACTTAATGACAAAGCGGGGAAGGGTAAAATAAAATAATCTATTAGAAAAACGTTAGGATAGTGACTCACACATGCATGAGGGAGGTTCAAAACCTATGGGAACCATAATTACCATTACCATCTCTTCAGTCATTGTCTCAGTGTTAACACTCCTCCAAGCTTGAGAAAGTTTCTGAGACCAATTTCCCCATTAGGATGTGTGGGTGGTGAGTCAGAATCTCACTATTATTATTTGTCTTCATACAGTCCTATCTTCTACGTTCACTTTATATAAATATAAAGGGCCACTAAGAAGAAACTCTGGTAGCATCGTGGTTATGAGTCAGGCTGCTAACCTCAAGGTCAGCAGTTCGAAATTACCAGCCGTTCTGCAGGAGAAGGATAAGGCTGTCTGCTTCCATAATGGTTTGCAGACTCAGAAATCCTATGCAGGGTCGCTGTGATTTGGAACCGACTCCAGGGCACATAACCACCAGACACTATAATGAATAAAAGAGTAGGACAAATAGGTGGGTGTGAGATCAGTCATTAGTATACTATCAAAAAGCTCAGTAATTGGTGAAGAACTTGAATCAGGGATTCAGAATCTGGGCTTCATGGCTGGATTAGGGAATCATTTGGGGAGAGAGAGAGGAAAGAAAGAGAGAGGAAAGAGAGCGGAGAGAGAAGAGAGAGAGAGGCGATATAAAGGAGAAAGGAGATAGAGACAGAAAAAGCAAGTCAGCCAGAGGATGAGAAAGGCCATTTCTTGGAAGGCATCTTTGGGAGTTTTCCCCAGACTTCTCCCTAATTTGTCCCGATTGACGGATGCCCTGACCTGGATCCCCGCCCAAATGAATCCAGGAGCCTTCGGTTCTCCGGTCACTGTTCCGTCACCTACCTCTCATGCCCACGGTCACATGGGCCTTGTCACCCTTCCAAAGTGGCCACTTCCTAAGAGGCTCCTCAATACTAAGAAGGTCACTTAACACATTCTTTAAAGCGTTCCTTCCCACTTCTACATCTTTTAAAGACATAAGGAAATCCGGAACCCAAATACCACTCATAAATGCAAACCGGGAACATTGTCTGCCTTCCAATGCCTTCCCAGAACACCCGAGAACATAAGTAACTTTCTCTCCCATTTCTAGGTCTGGAGTCCGCGGGACCCTCCTCCAGCACCCCTTGAAAGAGGCCCCTCAAGGGGTAGGGAAAGAGTACCCCGGGGACGGCTGGGCTACCCTTGGAGTCCAGGGGGCCAAGGCGTGCCCCTCCCCTCCCCGCCCCGCGCGCCCTCAGCTCCCGCAGCGCGCAGCCCGCGGGCCGAGCCTTCCAGCGTCCGCTCCGGGTCTCTCCGGGCGCGAGGGGAGGGGACAGAGAAAGAGGAGGGCCACGAGCGGGGGAGGAGGCGGTGCGTGCCTCGCCTGCCGAAAGGAGATCTGTGGTTTGCGTGCGATCCGGCGCCGGGCGCCCACTGCTCCGCTTGAGCCCCGCCTGGACGCTCCGGGAGCCGGGCTCCGTGCGCCCGCGGCCCGCCTCTGCGCTCGGGTCAGGCCCACGCCGTGCGGCGGGGAGGGACATCGGGGAGGAAGGGGCGACGGGCTTCCTGGATCTGGCTGTTCCCGCCTGGGAAAGACCGCAAGTTGTGTTCGGCCTGGGACCCGGCCGAGGAGGTGGCCGCCACCCGCCAGCCATGTAAGTGTCGCGTTCGGCTCTCAGTCCCCCTCTGCTCTGGACGCCAGGGCTGGGCTGCCCGGGCTCTGGACTCCTGAGCGGAGCTGATTTTGCGGACTATCCCCGCCCGTCTCATCCGCTGGTGGTGTCTGCCTCCGGGGGGTGCTGCTTGCCCATCCTTATCCCCTTCCTACGGGCGGGGCCAGCTGGAATTGCACCCCACCCCCTTTGGATTGAGGACACATTGTGTCTTCTCCGGAGGGGAGGCGGCCAAGGCAGGGGGTTCATTAAGGGTTTGTCTTGGCGAGGGCGCCTCACCCAGCGAGAGAGATGAGGACCCTTTAGCCGCGTTTTCCCCAGCCTATTGGCTCTGGCAGCCCAACTTCATATTTTGACCTCAGTTGCCGATATTAAAACAAACAAGCAAGCAAACAAAAAACCATCAGCTGAGTGACACTCACGACTGGAGGATGGCGGAGGGGAAAAGCTTAGGGAGGAGGATTGGGAGCAGGTCCGGGAGGAAGGAGTGGGCTTTACTGTGGAGCCTCCCAGTCGGACTTGGACGCTCTGGGGAGCAACTGTGGAGTGGAGTGTGGCTCTGGGCTTTCCTTGTCATTTCTTTTTGGAAAGTCTGGGAAGAGGGTTAGAAACTCTTTTTGAAAGGGAGCAGGTGGGAGTTAAGGAACCTGGAATTATTTGAATGGCAGGGTTACTGAAAGTATGGCTTACTTTTCAGTTTAGACACCGACTGCCATTGGGACAGAGAGATGGTTCCAGCAGAATTATTGGAACCAATGAATCAAATTGCAGATTTCAAAAATAAGTCATGCACAGACTTTATTTACACTAGTAGAAGATAGTTGTTAAGACTGAAGGAATTCTTAAATGCTAATGAATGAGTACTGAGAGTGCCTGATAATAGCTCTATCCAATGTATGTGCGTACATAATAATGTGTGTTGAATTTATGGTGCTCTGCAATTGTGAAAAATTATCCTAATTGTCTTGTTTAGGCTCATGCAGAGAGTTAATGGCACCTTTCAAAGGACGCAGAAAAGTTGCTACAAACCATGATTAGAAACTTGGAAGGCAAATAAACAAACCATGGCATGGTTCATTTTATTTTAATATCCTGAATTATGTTTACTGCCAGTAAAAATGCTACATTGCTTTTAATGAGGGCATATGAAATGAATTCACTGACTTGGCAAATAAAAGTGCTGTATTTCTTTAAGTAAATAGCTGTCAAAGTTAATTTGGAAACATTTTATAAGAGATAAAGACTTGGAAACAAAACTTTGAGCTACTTTGACAAAACTCAAGTTCTAGACAAGATTAGAGAGAGAATTATAATAAAATAGTTACTCTCACTTTAAAAGTGTTGCCACAAGCTTGCATGCTGATTAATTAGAAATTATATACCAACACGTCTGTAAGGCATTTCATTTGAACATTTCTTCTTCTTTTTTTTTTTAACTAGGGACCATCCCACTTATTACCGAGGAAGGGAAGTTGATGACATGCAGCAGGAGTGAAGATTCATTCTGTTGCTAGTTCCTCCTGCAGCACAGAACTGTGGATTCCCTGCGGAGTTTGGGTGGTTTCACACCTCCACTTGCTCCTGCAGTCCCTGAACATTTACTCTGGGTCCCTATTGCCTCATTTGGTGAAAGATGGCATCCAGTCTAACTTGTACCGGAGTGATCTGGGCTCTGCTCTCGTTTCTTTGTGCTGCCACATCTTGTGTGGGGTTTTTTATGCCTTACTGGCTCTGGGGGTCACAGCTGGGCAAGCCTGTGTCCTTTGGAACTTTCCGGAGGTGCTCCTATCCTGTGCATGATGAAAATCTTCAGATGATGGTGATGGTGGAGGAATGTGGGCGCTACGCCTCCTTCCAGGGCATCCCCAGCACAGAATGGAGGATCTGTACCATAGTGACCGGCCTGGGGTGTGGCCTCCTGCTGCTGGTGGCACTGACCGCTCTCATGGGATGCTGTGTGTCTGAGCTCATCTCCAGGACAGTGGGAAGAGTAGCTGGAGCAATTCAGTTCCTGGGGGGTAAGTGACTTCCTAAAATTGAATTGATTACTGGAATCCCCTGGGCAAAATTGAAAATTTTTATTTTACTTGCCACTTGGAAAGCAACAGCTAAGTAACTGTGGAATGCCTGTGGTGATGGTGGTGTGCCGTGGAGTCGGTTCTGACTCATAGCAACTCTGCACAGGGTTTCTGAGGCTGTAAATCTTTACGGGAGCAGAAAGCCTCATCTTTCTCCTGTGGTAGTTTCAAACTGTTGGTAGTTTTGAACTGCTGACCATGAAATTAGCAGCCCGACTCATAACCACTACACTGCGAGAGCTCCTTGTGGGGATAGATGGCCAGAGTCAAAAGATGATGTTTGGAATTGCTTTCCACCTTCAAGAATTCTTAATTTCTGTACCTCCTTAGACATAAGCATCATTGGCCTGCTAAGTACACCACCTATATGAGGCTGTTACATCCAGATTGTTATGTAGTAGATGAGGCAGATTGGATTTTATAGCTTCTTGTTCTGTAAGTTCATCAAGAGGTGACTTTATTGGAATCCTCAGGTACTTAGAGATAAAGACTTCCTCGAAGAGCAGAAAAGGTTTTTAATTCAATATTGTCAGTGCAGAAAATTTATTGTTTTTAATGGAGGTAAAATTGAGCAAGGCTCAACTTTAAACTGTGTTTCTAAATATGTGATGACTGTTTAAAATTAGATATCAGTTTTGTATTAATAGCTATGCACTAAGCTGCGATAAAAAGATAGCTATAAACCTAATTACTTTGTTAAAACTTAGTTTCTGTGGAAGCATTAACTGTGAAGGAAAAAAGAATATTTTGTGCATGATGTCTACTCGTCCCACATGGACTGGATCTTTTCACTAACACTCAAAAGAGTTTAATTTGTACTTGGGTTTCTTCCAGAAGTCTTGCTTCAGTATTTCTGATCTTATGTTTGTTTTTGCTTTAATAGATACATAATGTTATTTATTTTGTTGTTGAGAATATACACAGCAAAACATTTGGTTTTAATTGTACATTCTAAAGGGTGCTTCAGAAAGTTATGGAAAAATCCCTTTATCTTTTGTTCAATTTTTCCAAGAACTTTTTGAAGCCCCTTCATGTATTTTCCACTGTACTCTTTCTCTTCCATTCTTTGAGTTAACTGGCTGAACTTGTCTGATTTATAGTCTGTCCTGTTGAAATATGACAACTTCCATAGACAGAACAGAGAAAAGGGAAATAGCAGATCTGGAAATTTTACAAAAATGTATTTGTAAACTTTGGTACAAAGTAAAATCTGTTACTGTTACATTTGGTAGGAATTTTTTAGGCATTTGTGAGAAATCTCAAAGAAGAAAGAATTTTATTTGTTTAGTTCTGAGATGTTGCTGATGTTAAGTGCCACCAAGTTGATTTGACTCATAGTGACTCTGTATAGGATTTTGAAGGAGCAGTTGGTGTGTTTGAACCACCGACTTTGCAGTTAGCAGTCTAGCCTTTATACTGCTTATTACATTGGAGTGTCCCATGAGATTATTTCAAGTTTTGTAATTTAAAAATGGAGTCCTAGTGTGGTGCTGTGGTTTAATGCACTAGACTGCAAAGTCACTTTGAACCACAAGGTCAGCGGTTCAAGCTCACCAGCTGTTCCTTGGAAACCCTATGCAGGGTTACTGTGTGTCAGAACTGACTCGACGGCACTTAACAACAACAATATACAACTTTTAAATAATTTTTTAAGGTAGAAAATTCTTGTGCTAAAAAATATAAGTGGCTAAAAAATACAAAATTCTAAAAACAGAAATAGAGTTGCTTACAGTTCTTTATTAGAATGTAGCTTTCTTTTAATCTGTTTCCCCTGAGGTTTTGCATTTTACTCTGGCCTAGAAGGCAGCGTGAGAGATTCATTGTCCACTCTTTTCTATTTCAATGTTGAACACTGAACAGTGGTCTTACATGTATAGTATATAGTTATACCATAGAAATATAATAAACCTATTTTTGTTGTTAAATGCTGTCGAGTCGGTCTGACGCATAGCGACCCTGTATAGGGTTTCTAAGGAGCAGCTGGTGAGCTTGAACCGCTGACCTTGCAGTTCAAATGGTTTTGCAGTCTGGCACACCAGGACTCCAATAAACCTATCAGGAAGCATCAAAACGTTATCTTTGAAAGTTGGAATCTGTAAAACGTGAGTGTGGAAACTTGTGGATTTCACAGATTTTAAGACTAGGACTCATGCCAAGTGTATTTGTAAACTTGCTGTTTGTGTTTCACTTGGCTCGGGATTAATGTTTAGGGACTTTCAGTTTCTTATCTTATGGTAAATATTACTTTCCATTCTTTCTTCATTTTCAGGCAGAGACCTCGATTATTTCTGGCAGAGCAGGAAAATGCTTCCAAAGAGAAATCAGTTTTTATTGATTACCTTTAAACATATAATGAGGAAAGACAACAGGGAGTGAATCCGAGACCCATGAGATATATGCCCTCTCTTTAAGATATGTGTAGATTGTTTGGAGATATATAGAGCTAAATGTTCTACTGTACAAAAAAACCCACAGGGAAACACGATTGTGAAGTTATAAATACATTTTTAAAGGATCACTTTTTGTTTTCTTTGTAGATACTTCTCCTGAACTTTAGCTTGTAAGAATTACTGACCTTAAGCTAAGGATCTAATTTATTACTAACAGTTGGCATTCTCACATTTCTCATATTTGGTTCTCATATCTGAAAAAAGAATTCTGAATCTAAAAACTAAGAAGATTCGCTTGATGAGACAGATAAATACGTCCTAGTAACTAAGATAAGAAAGAGTAAGTTTTGAGTTAGAGACCTGGAATACAGAAAAGATAGTATTTATAAAAATCTGCCATTGTTGTTGTAGTTAAGTGCCATGGAGTTGGTTCTGACTGATAGCAACCCTATATAGGGTTTCTGAGGAGCGGCTGGTAAGCTTGAACTGCCGACCTTGAAGTTCAAACCAACTTTGCAGTGCAGCGTATTAACCCACAGTCTGCCAGTAGTCACAATTATTTAATAAAGCAGTTATTAGAGAATATTTTTAAAACAATTCCTGTGATTTATTTCATAATTGTTTGTTGTTGGTGTTTTTCATGAAAACGTATGTAGCCAGTAATTTTGTGACATTTTTAAAATTAAAGAGTTCTATTTCATAAAGTTTTTGCAAAATGCCAAACCTAAAATGCTTTGGAAATGTAGTGAGCATGCAAGGTATTCTGCTCAGAGGCAGACTCTCTTTCTAAAAATGATTTGCCCAGAAGACTTATGTTTAGCTAAAGTTAGGGTTGCTCCAAAAACAACAGGAAGCAGGAGAATGGCACAATGCAGAGGCATCCTGGGTAACCCTGCCTGCTGTGTGGAGAGGCTGCACATATGGTGGAACATCAGGCAGTAAAACCCCTGCAGCACTTTGGGACAAGGTAAAGGACAAAGTGTCAGCCTTAATTTTGAGTTGTCTTGCTATGGTTGGCTAGAGGTTAAAATGTCACTTGTCAACTGATAGAACAAAATAAAAGAGGACCATTTTACATGGGTATTTGTTGTATATGGAAGGAATGCCTGAAGCAATCAAAGACTTTTTCCACTTCTTGTGGTAACTTGTACATACACTGTATCTGCCGCCAGCTCAATCTCATTCAATAAGTCATATTCTTGCCATAAGTTTTAAAAGTCCATGTGGGTTAAGTTTTACCCCAACTGAATTTTTAAAAGGCATGTAGAAAAACCATGGAAAATATAAACTATAATAAAAATGTGAATAAGCTTATAGACTGGTTGGTAATGGTGTTATGAGAAAATAGAGGCTTTAAGGCCTTTGTTGGTTTGTTGATTATAAGTGTGCAGTACTGTAGTCATTAAATAATAGAATTTAAAAAATTAGTATCAAACTTTTTGATGTATTAATAAAATGTCTTATTTACATGTTCTGCAAATGAAACAAGGTCCCTGGGTGGCACAAATGGTTCAAGATAGGGTGCTAACCAAAAGCTGGGCTGTTTGAACCCACCCAGTTGTGCTGGGAAGGAAAGGCGTGGTAATCTGTAGAGATTAAAGTCAAGGAAACTATGGAGCCCAGCGCCAGTCTGTAACACATGAGGTTGTCATGGGTAGGATTTGACTCAGTGGCAATGTTTTTTTTTCTTTCCAAAATGAGTATGTAAGAACATCTTATAGACATTTTTAAGTTCTGTCAGCTGGTGCTTGCAAATTTAGAGACTAAGTATGTAGATTTTATTTTAGTAAACTGCTGGTGCAGTGGTCGTGGTGGTTATGTGCTGTGGAGTCGGTTCTAACTCAGAGCGACCCTGCTTAGGGTTTCCGAGGCTGTAAATCTGTACTGGAGCAGAAAGCCTCATCTTTCTCCCGCCGAACCGCTGCTGACTTTGAGGTTCGCAGCCCAACTTGTAACCACTATGCTATCAGAGCTCCTTAAGCCATTGATGGATATTATTTATATTATTTCAGATTTTGTTTGAATGTGAGCCTCATTATCTTTATAACTCATAGTAGAATGCTGTTCAGTAGCAACCAACTACCTTCCAGTGTAGATACTCTTCCGACATAAGCAGCTAGGGAAGATAATCTCTTCAACTATTTGAAAGTCAAGTTCTGCTCAAGACAGTAATGATGGCAGTGTTTCTTCCAGCCTCCTTTTCTGTGTGCTTAAAGTCTTTCCAGGATTCCCTTCACCTTAGGGTCCCACCTACCTGTCGTTCGTCCTTTGCAGTGAGTGCTTGGACCTCTCCTTCCATTGTTCCACTTTAAACCTACTTGTTGTACAATAAGGAGAACCAGTGGTGCAGTAGTTAAATTGCTCAGTGGCTAACCAACCATGGGAGAAAGATTTGTCACTTGGACTCCGTAGAGATTTACAGTCTTAAAAACTCTGTGGGGTTCTACTTTGTCCTGCAGGGTATGCCGCCTTTTTTTCCTTCGGATCCAAGTTATCTGTCAAGAGACAATGAGTAATAAGAGGAATAGAGATTGTTGACAACATGTTAAT